ATTAGAGATCGCAGATATGAGCAAATGCTGGCTTGGAGATGAGACTGGTGAGAGCGTTGTGAGCTTCCTTGCACCGGATACAACAGTCTCGTTGAACGAGTAGATCGCAGCGGTTCCAAGTCCGGGGAAAGACAAGTCCTTTGAGAGGTCGTAGATGATATGAACTCTTTCTCTGTCCATATTCTCTTCCGTGTCAACTATCTCAACCATGCTAACAAACTCTCCTCCTCCTTCTCCTTCTTCTTCACCGTGGACCGAACAAGCGAAGATTTCGTTTGAGATTACATGAATGTTCCTCTCACGTGCAAAGTCTAAGATAGCGTAGAGACTCTCTCTGCTCAAGAGACTTCCCATGGGGTTTGAAGGGTTTGAGATCACAATCCCGCGGATTCTCACACCTCGTTTCTTGGCTTGGTAGAACGCTCGATCAAGAACCAGCATCGATATCTTGAAACCGTCCGCGCTTCTGCAAGGAACGTGTATGATCTCCACTCCCGTTCTCCATTTCACATCTCTATCATATCTACACAACGACGACATGTCAAAAGATTCATTCAAAGGTCAAGCAGTAGAGAGTAAAGAGATGAAAATGTACCCTGGAGAGCATGGTGTTGGAACAAGAAAGGCGTTTCCGGCATCAGCTAAGCAGAAGGAGAGAATCTCCATGGCGGATGATGCACCGGAAGTTAACACTAACTGTGATGGATCGAAAGAAACAGAGTTTTTGGTTGCTTCTGACATGAATCCTGCCACAGCCTGTTTCATAATCCAGCAAAAACTTCTCTCAAGAACATATCCAAATCCTCAAAACAAAAGACTCACAGAAATTGCAATTCCAGAGATAACATTTTTAATGAACATTTGATAGCAAAAAAAGTTGAGAGCTTTTAAGGTTAGAGAGAACAAACCACTTTCAGTTCCATAAGTCCATGCGAAGGCTCGTAAGAAGCAATGCCACTGATATTTAATCCATCTGAGATTGTTTCTTCTGGATTCTCTAAATTCCAATCATTCAAGCTTAACTGTGGAGAAGAAAGAGAGACAGTCAAAATCGAGAAAATCAGAAACAAGTGAGAATTTTTTTTGAAGGATTTGATTTTTGACCTTGTTGTTCTGAGCTAAACCGAGTTCGATTACTCCGTCCGGGTTACTGGATTCATCATACGGATCTTCTTCGATCCGTTTTTGACCCACGTAGTAAGGAGAGTCTCCTCCTTTGGTTACAGAATTAACCCGACCCGAAACCGAAACAGCTCCGCCTGAATTTCTCGGCGAGAGGAGAATCCGAGAGAGAGACCGAGGCAAACCGGTAAGCTCCGTGAGATGTCCGGCGGATTGTGACCGGGTCGGATCTAGAGAATCCGGATTAGAATCCGAATTCGGAGACGAAGCCGCCGGGTTTTCTTCACCGGAATCGGATTCGTTTTTCCGATTTCGTTTTAGGTAGAACTGGAGGAAGTAGAAGAAAGCACAAGGAATCACGGAGCCTAGGAACAAACCGCCACGACCTTGGACCACGCCTTGTAACGGAACGATAACTCTCATCGCGGTGGTTCCTCCTCCGCCGGACTTCTCGGAATTGGAATTGGAGCTCCGGCTCCGGTTGGTTTCGTTACGGGTCATTGTAGTGAACTCATCGTGTTTGGGGGTAGTGTGGATTTAGTGTTTAAAATCAAAAATGGAGCCCTTGAAGCTTCTTTCGGGCCGGGTAAACGGATTATTGGGTCCGACGGCGAAGAGATTGAAACGAAAGAGATAAATTTCGATTTAGGTCAAACGAAATTTCTGGGATTTCTCTCGAGCGGTGTACGCTCTCGTTCGATTTGGGTCGTTGAGATTTTTTGGAGGGAGAGAGGAGCGTCTCTGAATTACTATATTACCCTCACTTTTTCTTTCTAACTGGGTCCCTAAAGTTTTGGATTCTCTGGAATTTTTCTGTCTTTTTCTATAGATTTGAAATAAACCAGATAAAGGTTAATTTATTTCATTATTGAATAGTGTAGTAACTGACTACTAAATCTGAATCTGAATCTAAGATGATTATTTTAAGCTAAAACAAGATAATTAGCTAAAATGAGAATGATAATTTGTAGCCATAAATCTTTATCACATTAATTCAGTAATATGAGGTTGGAAAATTGGAATAGATAGTTTACCCTTTACGCAAATAAAATCCAGAAAAAAAAAGATAAATTAAAATCCAGATGGCTAGTATTGTATAACAATTCTTATATGGTTGAAAATGTAGATAGTACAAACAAAATCCATATCAAAATAATGTTCTTATATTTTTTCCTCAAAATTGCATAAGCCACAAATTTCCTAGGAGCTAATGTATTACAGCTATCCTTTCATACATTTGATAGAAAAAAAAATATTATTTAGATCAACAAAAATATTAGCTATTTCATAAGGTAATGCGAGACAGAAGTTGATAAGTAGAACAAATGGATTTGGCTTCGGGTGTGTTTAAGCCTCATGTTGGATATTCCAACGGCTGTGAGATTTTGGTCGTTATATGTAACATTAATCATCATGTGGCTTGTCACTTCTGGATTTTCATTTTAAGACATTGTGTTTTCTTTTTGAAGTAATCATAGCCACATGAGATGATTAACATTGAACCCAGTCCATATATTTAAGTTTAAGTTTAGGAAAATAAAGAGTGCGAGAGATGTAATCATTTGACTTGTTAAAGAAACCTAGAGATTTTGAACAACCAAAGTTGTTTTGTTTGGTTTATAGACAAATTGCTCATTCACGATTCATTCTCTTCAGAAAAATTTTATGAAATACACCTCTTGAGGTGCAAATTTTCAAAACTACACCTATAGTGTGAAAATTTTCAAAAATACACCTTTTTCTAATTTTAATATATATGTTTGGGTTCATTAATCCTAGATTATGGTTTAGATTTTGGGTTTTAGGGTTTAGATTTAAGGGTTCAATGTTAGATTTTAGGGTTTTGGATTTATATTTTAGGGTTTAGAGTTCTTTTACTCCATGAAAAAAGTGTAGTTTTGAAAATAAACACCATAAAGGTGTATTTTTGAAAATTTGCATCTCAAGAGGTGTAGTTTTGAAATTTCCCCCTTCTCTTCATTGAATGATTTATAGTCATTATATGTGTTTTCTTTATCAGGAATTTATATTAAACACAAAAATGGATCACCTATTAGTTCGGAACTGAAAATGCAGAGAATGATTGAGTGCTACAAGCAGCGGTATTCGTTAATAATGTATTACGTAATCTAGTCAATGATCTTAAGTCATATGTGAAAATTAGGTGCAGATGTTTGATGATTACACCATAGATCATAGATAAGAAGATGTCTTAAGAAGATGATAAACTAAATACACCACATTTACACTTAAACATGAATCATCACTTCACGCAAGGTATATATGTGTTCTTAAAGTTTATCTTTTTTGTGGTGTGATGATGTTTATCAACTCATCAACATACTTTTGTCTTTGGTTGAGTCCATTGAGACGCGTGTTGAGTCCATTAAGTCAACAACCAAAATCAGAATCATGCGTTGGCTATTGGAGATCTTGTAGACGGGATAAAAAATCGAAAATGCATTAGAAATTGCAAATGATGTTGGAGATGGTGTAGATGATATTAATGGTGGAGATGATGATGATGATGAGTTCACCATCCAATATGTTTGATGATTACACCATAGATAACCAAATACACCACATTTACACTTAAACCTCGAATCATCACTTCACGCAAAGTATGTATGTGTTTTTAAAGTTTATTTTCTGTGATGTGATGATGTTTATCAACTCATTAACATACTCAACTCCAACACTAGTTACCATTCACTTTAGTTAGCAGAGTACACGAAGTGGCTTGGTTTTTGGAAAACGATGTCAAAGTAACACTTGAAGGCGAGAACATTCCAGTCGGATCATTCAATGAATATGTTGCGAGATACTTCGTAGACTCATATTGAAATCCAAGGTTACGTTTGTTGAATGCTCATCTATAACAAGACTAGAGTCAAAGACTATATACTTTTCTATCTTAATAAATATAGTATTGGTTTGCACACACACAACATGAACAAGAAATAATCCTCTTATTTATATTCCATCTTTCGTTACGCAAAAATCAGATTCAAACTGTCTAAAATGGAGGATCAAAAGCAAGACAATGAACACATTTTTCGAAGTCTGTATCCATATGTGCCCATTCCTGACAAGCTTACTCTGGTATCTACTTTCCATATATGTACATCCCATTATATTCATAATGATAAGATTGGAAACAATTTTGGTTGGTGTGGTTTCGGTTTACAAATTTTTTTGTCGTTCAGATTTGGTCTATTTTATATACAAGCCAATGTCTATCTTGTAAGATGTAAGTTAATGCACTCGATCATTGTTTTACAATCTCTTGTTTCACTTGGAAGGTTAGCTTGGAGAAATCTCTTTAACTTTTGTCTCATCAAATCATGTTCTTGAATCTTTTATTAGAGGTTAAAGATCTTTTATCACCTGGAACATAATATAATCCTCGTTTGATTAATAAAATATATTGTCGACAAAAAAAAAAAAAAAACTCCTCCGGTCAGAGAAACAGACAAAAGACAGTGACGTTGGTTTCACTTGTTTTTTTTTTGAGAAAAACGTTGGTTTCACTTGTTGTTAGTTTAGCTTGGAGAAATCTCTTCAACTTTGGTCTCATGAAATCATGTTCTTGAATCTTCATTAGTAGTTAAACATCTTAGAAAAAAAAGAATTGATTAAAAATCTTTATTCAGAAAATTTTAAATATATGTACCTCACAGAAAGTTATTGTATTTGTATTAGTTAATCAAGTAATTAAAAACACTATAAGGTATAAAATTTAAAAAATAAATCTTTAGACAATAATAAAGAAAGGTAATGAAAGAAGTCAGTCACTTTTTCCGTCAACTGTGTAAACTAATCAAATCGATCTCTCCTCTCTTTCTCTCTTCTCCGGTGAAAAACTCTACGACTTTAAAATGATGGGCGGTGGTGGCGGCGGAGGTAACGGAGGAGACGCTGAACGATGGCTAGCTACGGCGGAGAAGCTACTCTTATCCGGCGACCTAAACGGTTCAAAGACCTACGCGATCCGTGCATGCGAGGCCGATCACTCACTCGTAGACCACGCCGAGCTTATCCTCGCCGTCGCCGATACTCTAATCGCCGGTGAAACTCGAATCCGCGGAAGCACAGCCGATCTCCCCGACTGGTACGCCGTCCTCCGACTCGTTCGTCTCACTCACAACCCCGAACTCGTCGCGACTCAGTACAGTAGACTCGCCGTGTTGCTCAACCCGAGCCGGAATCGGTTCCCGTACTCCGACCAGGCTTTCCGGCTGATCTCCGACGCGTGGTATGTTCTCTCCGATTCTACTAGAAAGGCATTGTACGATAGGGAATTGCATCTGAGTCAGTTTGGGCAACTCGGTCAATTAGGGTTTCAGCTTTTCAATCAGCCGCAGTCGCAATCGCAATCACAATCACAATCGCCTCAACACCAACAGCAATCGCAATCGCCTCAACACCAACCTCAGTCTCAGCAACAAACGGTGTCGTATCAGAACCAGCAGTTACCATTTCAGCTTCATCAACAACCTCAGCAACAGCCACATTTCTCTCAGAGTCAACAAAGATCACAGTTTGATCAGCAGCTGATGCAATCACAGTCAATGCAAGAGCAACAACAAGCGTCTTGGCGTCAACAGTTTGGTCAAGAGCAGCAGCAAAGTGAGTCAATTAGGGAAGAAAGATTGATAAATTTGAACAATGCAACAGATAGGGTCCAATCTAGTCGTCGTTTCCATGAGCCTGATAGGTCATCTCATAGGAATCATTCAACTGATCTGACATGGCCGTCTAATAAGACCACCGCTGCAACGTCGGAGACTGTGTCATGGAAATCGTCTGAGCCTGCTAGGCAATATCAGTCGTCTAGGTCCACTGAAGCTGCTCAGCTCTCGCTGCTGCCTTCTGTTTCTGCACCTTTGGCTAGGCAGGTTCAGTCACATTCAGTCTCTAAACCGCAGCCTGTCTCTAAACCGGTCTCTAAGCCATTCCCAATGTCTCAGCCACCATTGAGCTCAGTGTCTCAGCCACCACCTACCTCTAAGCCCTTCCCGGTGTCTCAACCACCTCCGGCCACTAACCCATTCCCTGTGTCTCAGTCAACACAAAAGTCTAAGCCTTTCCCGGTTTCTCAACCACCTCCGGCCACTACACCATTCCCTGTTTCTCAGTCAACTCAAAAGTCTAAGCCTTTCCCGGTTTCTCAACCACCTCCGGCCACTAATCCATTCCCGGTGTCTCAGTCAACACAAAAGTCTAAGCCTTTCCCGGTTTCTCAGTCATCACAAAAGTCTCAGCCATCATCAAACTCTAAGCAGATCCCGGTGTCTCAACCACCACCAGCCACTAACCCTTTCCCTGTGTCTCAGCCACCACCGACCTCTAACCCATTCCCAATGTCTCAGTCATCACAAAAGTCTCAGCCTTTCCCTGTGTCTCAGCCACCACCGGCCACTAACCCATTCCCAATGTCTCAGCCATCGTCAAATTCGAAGCCTTTCCCGGTTTCTCAACCATCATCGACTACTAACCCATTCCCGGTGTCTCAACCATCACCAACCGCTAAGCCATTGCCAGTCTCTCAGTCACCGCAGACCTCTAAGCCATTGCCGGTATCTCAGCCAACACAGACATTTCAATCAAACCGTCGCTCTCAGCCACCTGAAGCCTCTCCACTGCCTCCTGTCTTCAACTCAACTCAATCATTCCAGCCACCTCCGGTCTCAACTACCCCATCTCCGGTTCCAGCAGCCTCTGCTAATCCATCTCCGGTTCCAGCAGCCTCTGCTAATCCATCTCCGCCTCCACCAGTCTCGCAGCCAACTTGGGTCCCTACCCAAACCACTCCAACTACTGAACAAACTCCAGAGAGCGAGGCTGCAAGAACGAATTCTGACCCAAAGGTTCCAACTTTCTGGACGACTTGTCCATACTGCTTCGTGCTCTACGAGTATCCAGACTTTTACGAGGAGAGCGTGCTTCTTTGCCAAACCAAGACCTGCAGGAGAGCTTTCCAGGCGGTGAAGGTTCCATCTCCACCGCCAGTTTCTGATGAAGAAGATAGTTACTATTGCTGTTGGGGTTTCTATCCGATAGGTGTCTCAGAGATGACTAAAGCCCCTGTCAATGATTTACCAAAATCAGCACCGACCACATTCTTCCCACAGATGAATAAGTTCCCAAGCACCGTTTTCCCAAATCCAACGCCGAGAAAACCTTCTCCAAAGGTACATTATATTCACGACGAAGATGAGGATGATGATTACTTAGATTCTGATCTTAGTGAAGAGGATGACGACGACGATGATGATGATGACTGGCGGATCAATGGAACGAAGAAGAGAAAGAATGTGAAGCAGAGTAAGCAGAAAGCATCAACAAAACCGAAACTTGGAAGACCTCGAAAAGTAATTGAGGTTGATTGAGTTGGAAACAGAAGAGAAGAGATTCAGAATCTAAAGGGTTCTCTCTGTTCTTAAGTTCTGGCTCTGTTGTTGTACTTGTAGGTGTAGTAGTGTTTAGCGGTTAAATTGCGTTGCTTCTGATGTTCTCTAGGTTTGGATCGGTCTTAAGCGATTCAGGGTTAAGTTTAGAAGCAAATGGTTGTAGTTTGTTTATGTTTTGGTGCATCTTCTTGGATCTATGTACACGTGGAAGAATCATTTTGATCAGTGAAAAGGAAACGAGTCTCTACGTTTTTAAGGATCCAAAGAAGTTTTAGAAAACAACCTCAAATTTCAAGAATTAATTTTGCTATCATCAATGGATATAGACGAAATCTGTTGGGATAAATGGGCTCAGCTCTAATTCTCAGTTTCAGTTACAGTATGACGTGTCTTTTGGATGTAGAAAGATAGTGAAACGAAAAGGAGATGTTGGAATTGGAACCAGTTTGGTTCAGAGATTTTGAACCGGTTCATATTTCCGGTTTGAATTGGACACTATAACCAGATAAGATCTTAGCCATATTAATGATCATGTTATCATCATCAGTCCCCTACAAAATTGTATGTGCAAGAAGATCAAAATGGGCACGCAACTAAAACGACCCATTTACCAAAAATGTCAGACCTAATCCTGACTCCAACTTCTTAACATTTAATATATTCAATACGAATTCTTTACTTCACTAACAATTATTGTAGACCGATTCAATGGTTTTCTGAGTATCCACGTTATCACCTGCAATTAATTACACTCCTTAATGATTGCACGTTACATTGTTACCTATATTAAAATACAAAACCTTTCTTAATCTCCTTTTTACCACACTAACTTGTTATGATTAGTGTTTAAAGTATGATATAATTATTTCTCAGTCTCCAGTGAACTTCATAAAGTTGTGATAGAAAATCTCTTTTAGTGCAGCTCTTTATTACTTTAAATACGTGGCTTATTCGTTACTGTGAATTTTTTTTAGTTTGTCAACAGTATACAGTAATTATGTCTGGTTTTATGTTTAAAAAGGGTGGGTCAGTCAAGTTTGTTTGATAGAAAATCAGTCAAAATTAAATGTATTTTTTTTTTGATAAAGTAAAATGTAACAAAAAAACATATTGTAGTATAGAAAACAAATCCTTATGTATTGACATTTAAGTTATGTAACATAACCTTGACATACTAAAACAAATCCTCTCATCTCATACTACTCAAAATATAAAAGAAATGACATCAATGGCCAATGGCAACAACATTAATAGTAGTTGAAACAAATCATTATCTTCGGTCTTCCTCCGAGAGGACCAAAATAGTAAATGTTTGGTCCATACTGAAAGAGTTAATTTCATCGAGTTTTGGTGTGGAATAATTTTTAAAACATGTTTATATGTAATATAATATTTAAAGTATCAAATTTTACCTTTAATTTTAGTTATTGCTCTTGAGAACTTTATAGCTAATTAGAGTTATATTTGTTTAAAAAAAAAAGATAAATTTGTGTATATATTTATAAAACATATCTAATATATATATATGAAACAAAATTTTAAATCTAAATTAGTATCAATCTTAATGAAATGTAGGGAGTATATATATGAATTATCTTGAAATAGAAATTAATTCGAGTTGAAATTTTGGGTGGTGTGTACTGAAGTTGACATGTATTTACAAGCACATTAAAATCATATGTTCCCATACATCTCCATTTGATTGACATTATTCAATAGCCACTAAATGAACAGCGAGAAGCTTTATTTGATAATATTATCAACAATTAATCCCAACTACTCATATCTTATGGAGATTTTAATTAAAGTTAAGTTTCTTCAAGATCCGTCACCTGTCATCATATCTGTCCTATTAAAAGAGGAAGAAAAATAAAAGGTTAAAGAAATCTTGGAGCCAAGTATAAAACCACACAAGACATACAAGTTAGGAACTCAGAACACTAATACTATAAAAAAATTCAAACCAAAAAGTACTCATAGCTTTTTCTTGATTATCTATTAGCCAAGAAAAGATGGACTCAGTTCCTTCAATATTTATGCCTTATTCAACCGAGGAAGATGGGTTACTATTTTCTGATTGTGTTCTTCTTTCGCCGCTAATGCCGTACCAAAGCCATGATGTTTGCAATCCGATCGCAAACAAAAATGGTGGAAGCAGTAAGAAAAGAAGTTTGTGTGATACATACGGCACAAGTGAAGCCAACAAAAAGGATGATGATGATCGAGTAAGCAAGAAGATGAGACATAGAGAAATCGAAAGGCAACGAAGACAAGAAGTTGCAGCTCTTTTCAAAAGTCTACGAGATCTCTTGCCATTTCAATATATCCAGGTAACTATCTAAAATATATACTATCATTTGATCATCTTTTAGTATTCTTTTTATCCATATATGTTACATGCATATTACTCATGAAAGATATATTTTTTTTATTATTCCATGTTAAACGTACCCGATAAGCAGTTTTTGTTTTTTGTTTTATTGAAATGAAAATCATATATACCTCTGTAAGGTTTTACTAACAACTCCATTCATATATGCTTCTAAGTTAAATACGTTATCAATTTATACATATTTAAATTTGCTAAATTAGTTTATGTGCTATCACTTTATGTATTATATTTGCTAAATTAGTTTTACGTATTCGTAGAAGGTTTTCACACTAGTAGAGTATTTAATATTTAAGTACATTAATATAAATTTACACTTGATCAAATAATTACTAGTTATATGCACACTTAAATCAAATAAACTTTTTAATGTACAGGGTAAACGCTCGACATCAGATCACATTGTTCAGGCAATCAACTACATCAAAAACTTACAAAACAATATTAAAAAACTCAGCGAAAAGAAAAATCGGATTAAAAAATCTCTACCGGGTACAAATATTTTTACAGAGGAATGCACAAGTAGCTTAACTTCATCATCCACACTATCATCAAGCTGCTCATGCGTTGGAGACAAACACATCACAGTTGTGGTCATGCCGTGTTTGGTTGGTGTTGAGATCATCATAAGTTGTTGTCTCGGACGAAACAAGTCTTGCCTCTCGAGTGTTCTTCAAATGCTAGCTCAAGAACAGAGGCTCAGTATAGTTAGTTGTCTCTCAACAAGGCTGCCACAGAGATTCCATCACACCATTGTTTCTCAGGTAAAATTATCAAGAGAACAAATTATGATATAGTGATGGTTACATGTTGTAAATAATGTAGTTAATAGCAGTATATCATGGTTTCAAATTTTCAGGTCGACGATGGAATGAAAATCAATATTTCGGAGCTTAAAGAAAAACTAGTGAATATGTAGCCAAAGAAGACTAAAAAGTTATCATGATTTTTTGGCATTTTGAATTGGAGGTTACTTATATTTTATTTGAGCTGTTAACTTCGAAGATCATGTTATTATAGTGTTACGGACCTTAAGATTAAGAGTGGAGTGCTTAGAGTTAATGTAACAAACTGTTTGTTTCTCTTCTTAGTAAAGAGTTTTGTTTTAAATAAGTATTAACTGACCGATACTAGTTCAGAGGTCCCTAAGGCCTAAACAATGCCTGACCATCGATAATATGATCCTTTTAGTGACTGATAATATGATCTAATGACAAATTAACTCAATTATAATGAAATGATTTTGGTTTGGAAGACCTACAAGAGAAACAAACCAGAGTTTCTAAGAAAAGAAAGGTCTAAACACAGAGACCAAATCACAAAATAGTTTCCAAATACAAATTAAACAAAAAATGCATAAAAGTGGAAGAAGACATGAAAAAACTCTTCATGGCCCCCAAACTTGATGGACTGTGTGTTTGGTACACAACATGACATGTCCAAATATGAAGTAGAATGAGGGTTGGAGCATAGATCTCCTAAAAAGAAAAGAAATTTGTGTAAGGAAAATGGAACCAAAGAAATAAGCACAAAATGATTAGAATGTTGTTAGTTGTTACCTCTCCAGCGTGAATATAAGCCATCCATTCTCTCATGATATGTTTTTTGCTTATTTGTCATCCTAGTGCAGAAAAAGTTCAATTTTAATGCTGATAATTATTTAATTTGTACCTCAACCTCTCTAAAACATACTTATTAGCTGATTTATATGTCGTGTCTTTTTAAAATACAGAATCTGGTGAAACATTCCCCTAAAACTTATCAATATGTTGCATGATAAATTGATAATAGGCAATAATGTATATTTTAAATGCCTTTTTTTTACTAAAAACTTTATTTTTAAAATACTTGCAACTGTATAATACCTTATATTATATACTGCATTTGATTAGTTTTGGAACACTGCAATTTTTGTGTTTGCAATTGCAAATATGTGTTTCCTATTAAATTGCAATCTAATGATTCTTTTGATAGGACACATATTCTTTTTTGTGAAGTTTTATCAAACGAAAATAATAAATAGAGTCCAAAAGTTAAAAAGGAACTAAAACAACAACAACCTATAGTCAAGAACTCGTTTGAAAGACGGGACAAATAATTCTCACCAAATATTCTGAGTTTGACCATTTGTTGTGGAGAATGAAGTAGTTACATTCTTTGGTCTGCATAGATTTTTTTGTTAAAGGGTCTGCATAGATTATGTGTGTGGTAAATCTGATAATTTTTCTTTTCTTTTTTAAAAAAAAATCTGGATATAAAACTAATTAAAATATTTAGAATGTCGTCAAGGGAGGCGCAGACCAAAACAAACATGAAGGCACGTCCATAACTTACTTGTTCATATATACACATCTTTCTTAGTGTGTCTCACGTTGACACTTAAACAAATAAAACAAATTTAGTAAGTCACTGTATTCATGGTATATATGAGATCTTATGCAACCATAGGACCTGGCTTTTCAGAGAGGAAACGACTATAGGAGCAATCAAAGAGAAACAAAAAAAAAAAAAATGGATCAAAATTTGTATCGTAGCCTCTTGGTTATTTTGTTGGCTATGGCCATGATCGGAGCATCAACGGCAGCATATGCCGGGACTGTGTGGCGCCGGGCCTCAGCCACTTTCTACGGCGACGATACTGCCAGCGCAACTATGGGTATAATTCAAATATTTTTAAACAAACTATACAAAACAAACTATGTAAATTTATCTTTATTACATTTTTTTTCTTACAAAATGTTATATCATAATTGATTATTTTGACTTTTAAGTTACATTAAGTTCTTGAAAATCATAAAACGATTTAAACCTAACCTATCATCATCGATCAGGCGGGGCTTGTGGCTACGGTAACCTATGGAACAGCGGGTACGGCGCAGCTACGACGGCATTGAGCACAACGCTGTTCAACGACGGTTACGCTTGCGGTCAATGTTTCCAGATAAGGTGTGTGTCGTCGCCTAACTGCTACTACGGTTCACCAGCCACCGTTGTGACTGCGACCAACATTTGTCCTCCCGATTATGCCAAGGACTCAAACAATGGTGGGTGGTGTAATCCTCCACGTGTCCATTTTGATTTGGCTAAACCGGCTTTCACGAAGATCGCTAATTGGAAAGCTGGTATCATCCCCGTCTCATACCGCCGGTACGTAAAATACTAACTAGTCCAACTTACATACGTAAAGTAATTAGTAGTGTGTAAATTATTAAAATTTCCTCTAGACCATTATAGTTTGATGTGTTACATGTTTAAAAAAATGAACTAGGCTATATTTGTTGGAACTTGGAAGTCTCTCACCTTCTCAAAAATATAAATAAATAGATTCAAATACTTGAGAAACATTTTACAAATATTCGGTAGGTTTCTCAAGTATTTGATACCTACATATCATATATATAATATTTTATTTTTTGAGAAAATGAGAGACTCATGCAAGAGACTACAAATGGAGATGAAATTCAAAAAAAAAATCTTCTAAATATATGAATTTTGAATTAGAATATGCACCACATGCAAGTACTTAAAACGGTTATGTCAATATTTATATTGCAGAGTGGCATGTAGAAGAACCGGAGGAATAAGGTTCAAGTTCGAAGGAAATGGATATTGGCTACTTGTGTACGTGATGAACGTAGGTGGTGCAGGTGACATCAAGAGCATGGCCGTGAAAGGTAGCCGCACCAACTGGATCAACATGAGCCATAATTGGGGAGCTTCGTACCAAGCTTTCTCTTCTCTCTACGGCCAGGCTCTCTCCTTCCGCTTTACGTCTTACACAACTCGTCAGACCATCTACGCTTGGAATGCTGCTCCGGCTAGCTGGTCCTCCGGCAAAACCTACCAGAGCAAGGCTAACTTCAGCTGATTTTAAATGAAATTACGAGTTTTGCTCCTTAGTTCTTGAGGGTGCATGTTCGAACGAGAGGCTACTTTTAAAAATAACTTCGTTTGATAATATCGTAGTAATTATAATTCTTGTGCTCTTTTTTTCTTCTTGTTGGCCATTATTGATTGAGAAATTAAGGATGTCTAGTAACTTTTCTACGACGAGAACAATTGTTGACATTTTCTCTTGATACGGTAGAAGCAACTAGTACACATATATATTGACAAAAATCTTGCTAATTCAAGAATTCAAATGATCATACCATACGATCAAACGCCAATCAAATTTATCATCTAACTTGTCATCACGTCTATATATATCAAATACTTCTTTATTTATCATTTTATGAAGATCTTTGCAAATTTTCTTAATAATGACGCATACTAGCTACTATACTAATATAACATAGATGAATATCATTATGTCTATGCATTATCTTCAATTTAAACACTCTTTACCGTACCCCTCATGAAAATGTGGTACCAATGTAAAGTATACATTACCGATCGAGTGACCCACAAAATGAAAATTGTATAAACTTTCTTTTCTTTTTTCTCTTTTAACTGCAAAAACACTTAATAGTCTATTTATGTAGACGTATACTTTACTCAAATCAATCTCACGCCGTCTTTAGTTTCATATCTACAAAAATCATATCGATTTGGATATATAAACATTATACATACATATATATATATATATATATATATAAGAAAATAAATATTTTCTTTTTGATAAATAAATAAAGATTTCTACACAAATATATAAAAGCAAACCTTTCCCTTCAATCCAAAGCCTTCATCAAGCTACAAAAAAAATCATATCTCATGATCAACTAAATTAATGTCTTCGTCTTCACTTCTTCTTCCCATCTTCTCTCAACAACAACAAGTGAGAAAAATATTTCGACCAAGATCAAAAATGGAACCAACAACTACAACACTCTCATTTCCCTATCTTCAACTAATAACAATCATCATATTCTCATTCCTTCCTTCTCATCTAGAAGGTTTGACCTCTACTACTAGTACTACTACTACTCAAGAACCTTTCAACGAATCCTCAAGACTTCTCGATCTCCTCCTAAGAGACTACACTCTCAACTTCTTCAAGAACCAACATAACTCAATCAAGACCGGCGTTCTCCGGCGTGTCCACCTCCCGTCCAACTACTCCGGCATAAAACTCGACGCCGTTAGGTTCCGGTGTGGGAGTCTCCGGAGATACGGTGCTCAAATCCAAGAGTTCCATATCGGTGTCGGAGCGAATCTTGAGCCGTGTAGTGAACGTCTCGTGGTTGTGAGACAAATCTTGGGGTCGAATTGGTCCGATATATTTTACAAGAACTATGATCTCTCCGGTTATAGACTTGTCTCTCCGGTTCTAGGGCTCTTAGCTTATAACGCATTAAACGATGTTGTCTTTGGGAATACTTTGAGCAGCTCTTATCAGATAAGTCTCCTCCTAGACGATGCTAAAGATCCGTCCACCGTTTACTTCGGGAACGTTTCTGGACCGTTGACGGTTGAAAGAACGTTCTTGAATAAGCCAATGTGCGTGACTTTCGGACTCGACGGTAGAGTAACGTTCGCCGGAGAAGTGAAGCCGTTTGTATGCCCGGTTAAAACTAACGGACATTTTGGTCTAGTGGTGATGGATGATCCAAGAGTACCGGAGGGTGGAGGAGAAACGGAGATGAAGAAGGAGAAGATCGGACGGTGGAGATCGGTCGTTGGAGGGCTTGTTGGGTCTGTGACGGTGGGGGTGGTGCTATTAGCGTTTGTGGTGGTGGGTGCGATTGTGACGGCGAAGAAGAGGAGGAGAAGGGCAAAAAGGGAAGAGATGGTGAGAAAAGCTTATGAAGAAGAAGCTCTTAGAGTAGTGACAATGGTGGGGCATTCTAGGGTTCACGTTGCTTCTGCTACAAGGACTTTGCCGGGTTTCATGGAACATGAGTGTGTTCCTAATTAATTAATGAAATTATTTATATTTACGTTTGACTTTGTATATTTTTTATGGATTTTTAAAAATGTATATTATTTTTCTCCTTGTAAGTTTTATTTTAGAATACATGCTGTTTGGATTTGGGGACATACGCTTGGATGTTTTTATCTCAATATTTATATATATTAATAATGTAGTCATTATCTAACTAATGTAATCTTTCTTATACCTGCTTCGTTTTCTCCTTCTCCTTTTGCTTGTGGGTTTTTCTGAATTTCGTGTCAATAAAATTGAATCTCTAGACGTAGTTGTGGCAATATACCATTGATTTGTGGGTGAATTTCTTGTTAACCTCAAAAGCTTTCTCACTGGTAGTGAATCTTCTTCTTCGCGTATGGTTTAAAATCTTACAGTATATAGTTGGTTCTGTCTATTGCGAGTAAAAAATAAAAACAGAGTGAGTGCTTCGATTGATAAAATTAGGGGCTTCAAAATTTGATTGGTAAAATTACCAGTTCATATTGGTATTTAGGGTTTTCACAATTGAATGTTAGAATTAGGTATTAAGGGTTTATGATTGATAGCTTCAAAATTAGGTTTTCTATGATTTTTCTGTTTTGGAAGCTGTGGAAATTGCGTTTTGATTGTATAATTTTATGTTATTGAATTATTAGAGAAAGAAAAGGCTGGAGTCGGAGATGGAACCAAGAAACCTTACCCCTGCTGTTATGCGTCGTCTCCGTCCATTGGCTGGATCGTACAGATACTATCCATACACGACGAAAGGGTCAGTGAATGTTACTTAGTCTCTCTTCTTCTCGCTTTGAGAGACTTTATTATAAAGTAATAAACAATCGTTGAAACTGTTTTTGGTAGGATGGTCTCTGGGAAGAAGGAGATGAAAGAGGAGGTTGTGCGACTAGGAGTTGAGCTGTCTTTACGTGTGGCTCAAGCCATGTTCTTGCTCTGTGACGACACTCGTAAAATGCTAGTGTTCTGCGCTAGGTTATTTAGAGATGTAACACTGAGGAATGCCGTGTTAGACAAGCTGCTTCTTGTCATGCATTATGTCTACTTCGAAAACATCAAACCGATGAAGGAGAAGGATGATTGTGGAAACTTTGATGATCAGGACCGAGTTGACCGAGTTCTTGCTTTGATCCCGACGGCCTGGAGAGATTTCGGTGACGGGATCATAATAAAATCATTAAAACTTAAGAGTCACTTTCATCCTAAGAATAATTTGCTAATATACTCGTTAATTTATTTGTTGAAAATATCAGACTCTTGGACGAAGCCATGATTAGGCAGCATGAGATAATGGCTTATATCGAGAAGAAGAAAAAGAAAAGAAGATAACAAACAACAAACAATTTTCCCGAATCTCAGTCTCATTAAAATTTCCTAAAATGTCTTCATACAAATCATCCCATGATTAGAATAATTCTTCATTATCACTTAATGCGGTTTCATGTGACCCCAGTACCTGCAAAAACAAAAACTCTATATATATATGAGCTCGATTGAAATAGAAATAAAATAATAAAAAAATGAAACAAGACCCTAAATGAAATTTCAGTGCGCCAGGTCTGCCGGCTGCCCCACCTATATTGCCACCATTGCCAAGTGCGTTGCCACCATCTTCACCATTGCCACCATCTTCAACATTGCCACCGGTTGCACCACCTACATTGCCACCGACTGCCCTACCTAATAGCTTATAATTGGTTTAGCATTAGATAAAATATTTAGATTAGGGAAAATAAGAATTAAGGTTATGCACAATTATATGTTGGTCTTTCTGTTGACAAATAAGTATTAAGGTTATGTACAATAATTGTGTATAATATCTAAAATCATAGCTAAAATGGAGAACATGTTTAATCCGCTTTTTAATAAGCAAATGTAATTAGTTTATTCACTTTCATCTGCCGTCCAAAAAAACTAATTGTGTTGTTCTTAACTGGAGAACCAAATAATAATAGGGATAATTGGCAATTTACCCTAGATTGAAAGTGTTTTTGTCCCTTTACACCTTCACATTTGTGTCTTGTCCCATTACCTTTTTTTTTTTGCATTTTTCTCATTTTTGCCCTTCCTTTTAATTGGATAATGTTTTGTTAACATTTTCATTTTTAAAATTAAAATTTTAATAAATAAATAAATAAAACGAACAAGAAAGAAAGGAAAGAAAGATTTGAAAAATATTCAGTTGCAATATTTTCTCGATCTTCGCAGAAGATGAATTCTACAAAACCGTAGACGACACTAATTTTGCTAGATTGTGTACTAGAAACACGAGTACTACGGATCGTAGAAAACATGGTTTTAGTAGAACACTACTTCTGCGGGATGTAGATTAGACAAAAACACGTAGAATACGAAAACTATTTCTTGTAGATAGCAGTGTTTCGCGTAGAACATAAAATCTACGAGTAGTAGAAGATACTTGATTGTGTAGAATATATTTGGTGCGAATTCTACAAAATGGTAGAGCCTATAAGGTTGGTAGATATCAACTTCTACATCCGGAAGAGGTATGTATAAGTTGTAGATATTATGTTCTACGGAGGTTAGACCAACGAATATCTTGTAGAAAACGTATTCTACTTTGTTATTTTAGATTTGTAGAACGAAACTTATAATATTTTTTAAATATCATAAGCATTTTCAAAAATGTTCAAATATTTTACACAGTGCTGAAATCATTTTTAGGAATTATGGAATTTGTTTTCACTTGAAAAAACATTTTGTATGAGTTTATAAATAAATTGAAGGGCAATCTTGACCAAAAATGACCAAAGTCAAAATAGGTGTAAAGGGACAAGAAATCTTTCAATCTGGGGTAAATTGCCAATTCTCCCATAATAATACATAACATTTGATAGCTTCAATAGGTATTATAATTCCAAACCAGACTAGGTAAATCGAAAGTAAAAAACTGCTATCATGCATGTTTGGTTCCGTAAAGTTATGATAAAGTACCCGTTTATAACGTGCTTTAATACCTATGAATATGAATGCGTATATATGTAGATAAAATATAAAAATGAAAACACTTCCTTTTTTCTCTTGTTGTGACAATGATTTGAGACCTAATAAGTGACTCAACAACTTGAGCTTAAAAATTAGTTGAAAATTACGAAAAAGAGATAAAGAAAATATCTTCCAACCTTTAACGATAGGACCGGTAGACACACCTAACCCTCTTAAACCCACTGAACTTATAGCACCTAATTAATAATACTATTTAATTTAAAAAAAAAAATTACTCATCCAAAGATTACAATTTACACTTGGATATATTCCAATAGTATTTATATTAACTAGGACTTTTTTCTTACTGTTTGTTTCTCTTTTAAATTGAAACCATATTAAAATGTTCGAGTTTCACATTATTAAAGAAACGGCCATGCATATTCATACTTTTAAAAATCGTTTTAAAACAACATAAATAATTTGTATGATTTTTAACTCATTTATTCAAATTTAATTTTGTTTGAATGTCCTAGTTTCACATAAGATGAATAAACAATATTAGAAAATAGGTCCAAGCTAATCAGAATTAAGAGTATCCATATGGTATGGCCAAGACCGGTCCGGTCGATTCATGTGCATATAAATAAAACAAAACCATTCTTGAATAAAATATATTTTCGAAATAAAAATTGAAAAACAAATGAAAGGGAAAGAAATCAGGACAGCTTTTTATATACGTTGATTTCTTCCGATCATTATATGTCTCTCTCTCTCTCTTTCTTTCTATGTCTATGAGCTAATCTCATGAACAAAATCAACTTCAAGAACTAGGGTTTTCATAACAAAGACGTATCATTTTCTCTCCGTCTTCGATCAAGAAGATGCAAGAAGCGGCGTTAGGTATGATCGGAGCCAACGTAGGCGGAGACGGTGACGCCGCCGTTGTGGCGGAGCAGAATAGACAAATGAAAGGTGAGATAGCGACACATCCGATGTACGAGCAATTACTGGCCGCACACGTGGCATGTCTGAGAGTAGCGACTCCGATCGATCAGCTTCCGATCATTGAAGCTCAGCTTTCTCACTCTCATCATCTTCTCCGTTCTTACGCTTCCACCGCCGTTGGATTCTCTCACCATGATCGTCACGAGCTCGACAACTTTTTGGTACGCTGATTTAATTAATTGTTTTATAATTTATTCGTTAGTTTCTCACCATGTTCTTTGTTTTTTCTATGAATGAAGTTGGTAAATTAATGATTACCAGTTTAAAATTATGTTACAAACAAATTTGTTCTTTTCAATAATTTTTTCGTGGGTTTTTTGGGATAAAATAAGGGTAATTAAATTGTAAATGAATTATACAATTTGAACCAGCAAACAAGAATAAATCCTAGAACTAGCTAAGTACATAACCATCTCAGCTAATGTAAAGCGTTTTTACATTTTCGTGGTTTATTTTTACAAGCTCTTTGTGAATTTAATCACCAAAGACGTAAGTTTTGTCAATTTACGAGTGGACTAACTATGAATAAACGTTTTCTTTTCAGTCATGTATTTTATTGGTTTTTTCTTACCATTTCGTGAATTTATTGTGAAAGAAGTAACTTTTGTTAATTTTCATGGGAATTAATTTATATCATACCTTGACCAGCAACAAAATATGTATCTTCATACAATTTCCATATACATTATAAACACAAATATATATATATATATATATATAGATATATAGCTTTGTGTAGAACTATGATTAAATAGCTTGGGTGCTAAAATCCTATTGATTGAGACAACACTAGATGTCATTTTTGCAATTAAACTGAAACGTCCATTTAAACTTTGATTTATTAATGTTGGTTGAAGTCGGTGGTTGATAACTTGATATTACTCACTCATTTCTATTTCATACTAAAATTTGGCATTGCATTATTATGTGGAAGGTATATTGCACCTATAGTTTTGGAATTAGCTCAAATTCATTTTTATGTATTAAAATTAGGTAGAGAATAGGACTTTAGAATGATTCAGCCGCTCAAAATACACACCACACCAGAAACACAATTTATAGGTGTGCATTTGTGCATACATATAAATAAATGTTTATTAAATTTAATTGGGTATGTTTTGGAACAAATACTAATAATCAAAGGAATTGGAAACAGGCACAATATGTGATGGTGTTGTGTAGCTTCAAAGAACAGCTACAACAGCACGTGAGGGTTCATGCCGTCGAAGCTGTTATGGCTTGCCGTGAAATTGAGAACAACCTCCACTCTCTCACAGGTTCTTAATTTATTAATTCTCATAGGTTCTTAATTATTTAAAAGAAATGATTGAGTTAGGTATATAAAGGTTCTTATTAGCTGATGATAACATGTATGAACGACCGGCAAACATAAGATTTATTTATAGTTAAATGTATGTGTTAGAAGATATGATGATGAAGAATATATATCGCTTTCACAATTTATATATAAGATATGGATAATTCTAATGATGTTAATGCATGTTTCAAGAGTATAAAAATAAAGAAAATGAAGACTGAATAGTTAGTTATTGTGTTGAAACGCAATTTTAGAATAGTTTACCACATTTTTACGTAACGTAATTAGTCAACTATTATGTGTTTTTTCGTCGTGACAATTATATTTCAACATCCAAACTTTAATTGGTTATACACACACTTGTGTACACATACATACATTGATGTGGCTTGTTTGTTTTAAGGTAAAGTGCCTCTGGGCTGGGGTCGGGGCTTAATGCCTTAATCCATCTTAAATATTGTAATTAAGAGTATATAACATTTCGGTTAAACTTTCACTATTCTGTTCACCAAAAAAAAAAAAACTTTCACTATTCTTGTAGGAGCAACGTTAGGTGAAGGATCTGGTGCGACGATGTCGGAGGACGAGGACGATCTACAGATGGATTTCTCGTCGGATAATTCCGGCGTTGACTTTAGCGGCGGCCACGATATGACGGGATTTGGTCCGTTGCTTCCGACAGAATCTGAACGATCTCTTATGGAAAGGGTCCGACAAGAACTTAAACTCGAACTCAAACAGGTAACTAAACTGAGTGGTATATGAGTCACAATAACAATAACATGTTTACGTTATCAAATTTTTCTTGTTCTTGTAATGATTTTTTTTTTCATTTTATAAGGGTTTTAAATCGAGAATTGAAGATGTAAGAGAAGAGATAATGAGGAAAAGAAGAGCTGGGAAATTGCCTGGAGACACAACTACTGTCTTGAAAAATTGGTGGCAACAACATTGCAAGTGGCCTTACCCTACTGTAAGTACTCTTTTTGTTTTTTTATGTCATAATGTTATAATCAATAATGAATTAATTTCATTTAAGTATGTATACAGTCAAAATAGATAGCTTAAATAATTTCGGTAACCAGTAAAAATCAGTTTCGGTCCGAGTTTGGTTTATTATCGGTAATTAGAGATAAACAAAAAGATGTTATTTGAAAACAGGAAGATGACAAGGCAAAACTGGTGGAAGAGACAGGATTGCAGTTGAAGCAAATCAACAACTGGTTCATTAATCAACGCAAGAGGAATTGGCACAACAACTCTCACTCCCTCACTTCCTTGAAGTCCAAGCGCAAACACTAATCTCTTCTTTACTAATTAGTAGTATATAGTTGCCACTACGTACATTTCAATTCTAGTTACATTGCTTTATCATGCATGGATGTATGTAGTTCATGTTATTGCTAATAACCAGAGGTGTGA